GTTTTTTTTAAAGAAGTCTCTTTACTTCTTGCTCAAACTGGATTTTTCTGTCGCTGGTGAACAATTAACGAGTTGTGTGGATATAGACAGATATATAGATTATCTTGGTTAAACTAATTTCCTAAGAAGGCATCAGCGATTTTTCCTCCCCCCCCCTTATCTGCCTTATCTGCCTGATAGAGAAGCTACAAAAGATAATATGCAATATTCTTTTTTGTTGTTGTTCCTGTTTCTTGGGAGAAGAGAGAGAGAGGCGGGTGGTGGGATGGCTGGATTTCCTATCCGTTGGAATCAACTCTCCAAGCCAGGAAGTTTTCTGAATCCAATTGGCAAGGCGAGATCAGTCCTTGAATTGAAGGCAGTTCAATAGACCTTGTTTTTGGGGTGTTTTTTTTTTGTTTGTTTTTTTTGTTTTGTTTTGTTATTTGCAACACAGACACACAGTTTCGAAGTCCGAATGTAACTAGCAAAGAGAAACCAGCAATTAAAATAAAGATTTTTGTCTCCTTTGCAGCGCCCTAAATGGAGCTGCCTGGAGAACTAAAGTTGGGCAAAAGGGAACAAAGCCTCCTTAGTTCTCCTAGAAATTTCCTGACAACAATCACAACAATAAATCAGTGGAACAGCTTGCCACCAGAAGTTCTGAGTGCTCCATCACTGGAGGTTTTTAAGTAGAGATTGGACAGTCGTTTGTCTGAAATGGTATAGACTCCCTTCCAAATCTGTTATTCTGTAATTCCAAAGCAACCGCGGGCAGGATAAGAAGTAATGGATGGAAACTAACATAGTGATTAGGCCAAAGTCACCCACCTGGCTTTCATGCCAATCACCAGGAGATGGTGAGTTCTAGTCTCACTTTAGGCATGAAAGCCGGCTGGGTGACTTTGGGCCAATCACCAGGAGAGGGTGAATTCTAGTTTAACCTTAGGCATGAAAGCCGGCTGGGTGACTTTGGGTTAATCACCAGGAGATGGTGAGTTCTAGTCCCACTTTAAGCATGAAAGCCGGCTGGGTGACTTTGGGCCAATCACCAGGAGATGGTGAGTTCTAGTTTAACCTCAGGCATGAAAGCCGGCTGGGTGACTTTGGGCCAATCACCAGGAGATGGTGAGTTCTAGTTTAACCTCAGGCATGAAAGCCGGCTGGGTGACTTTGGGGTAATCACCAGGAGATGGTGAGTTCTAGTCCCACTTTAAGCATGAAAGCTGGCTGGGTGACTTTGGGCCAATCACCAGGAGATGGTGAGTTCTAGTCCCACTTTAAGCATGAAAGCCGGCTGGGTGACTTTGGGCCAATCACCAGGAGATGGTGAATTCTAGTTTAACCTCAGGCATGAAAACTGGCTGTGTGAAACCAATCTCTGAGTTAATCTTGGTTGCTGGCACCCCTATTTAGAATTTTCCAGTTAGGAAATGCCTCCACTTGGATATTGCTATAAGAAAGCAAGACGTTTTTTTTAATGAGCTATTACTGAGTTTAACAACATTATCATAATGCATTGGAAATCGTGATGGCTCCTTTGGGGATGTCAGAAGTAACTTCCATTTCAACTCTTCCCGTGTCTCTGTTTTCCAGGTTTTCCGGTAGCCTAGCATCTTTTTCCGTCTCTTTGATTTCTTTCATATCCAGGAGAACTGCGCCTGGATGACAAACCTCGTCTTTTCTGCCCTTTTCTCTCTTTTTTTCCTCCATGTTCCTAAGACAGGACAATTAAAAGAGGAAGAAACATTTAAAGGCAAAGGCAAACAGCTGGCAAAGAATAGAATAGAATAGAATTTTTTATTGGCCAAGTGTGATTGGACACACAATGAATTTGTCTTGGTGCCTACGCTCTCAGTGTACATAAAAGAAACGATACGTTCGTCAAGAATCATAAGGTACAACAATTAATGATAGTCATGGGGTACAAATAATCAGGAAACAATATCAATATAAATCGTAAGGATGCAAGCAACAAAGTTATAATCATACAGTTGTAAGTGGGAGGAGATGGGTGATGGGAACGATGAGAAGACTAATAGTAATGCAGACTTAGTAACTATTTTGACAGTGTTGAGGGAATTATTTGTTTAGCAGAGTGATGGCGTTCGGGGAAAAATTGTTCTTGTGTCTAGTTGTTCTGGTGGTGAAGATACTAGACAGGAAACCAGGAGATTGTGAATTCTGCCTTAGACATAAAAATCCGCCTGGGTGACTTTGGGTCAATCACCAGGAGATGGTGAGTTCTAGTCCACCTTAGGCATGAAAGCCGGCTGGGTGACTTTGGACCAATCACCAGGAGATGGTGATTTAAAGCCTTGCCTTAGGCACAAGGCCAGCTGGGTTACCCTGGGCCAGTCCCTTGCTCTCAGCCCTAGAAAGGAGGCAATGGCAAACCACTTTTTTGAAAAATCTCGCCAAGGAAACTGCAGGCGAAAAGTTGCCACAGTTGAGAAACACTGAACTCTAAATCAAGGGCCCAAAGTTGATGGATCCTGGCTTATTGATTCAAAAATGGCTTTCGATTCCCTTGCCGCCGACCGTCTCCTAAAACGGTTCCTTCCAGTTCCCCCTCCCTTCTCACCACCCTAATCTGGGAAGAATTTTCTAGATGGCAATTAAACAAAGAACAAACAAGGACTATGCAAGTTCTGTTGCAACTAACCTGCTTTCCACGTCTTCTATTGTATCTGGTAGCGGTACATTTAAAGTCTCGGGCAGGAAACAGGCGGCCATCCCGGAGATGATGGGGGCCGTAGCATAGATGACCAGGGGAAGGGACGGAAAATACTCGCTGGTCATCCTCACCAGAGGGGCCACAATCCCCCCGACACGTGCCATCGTGTTCCCAAAGCCCATCCCGGTTTGCCTGACATGCAACAGAGGGAAGAATTAAGTTTTACTTAAGCTCATCATTCACCAACTGTAGTTCCATGGTAGAACTACAACTCCTGATATTCCTTGCATCTGGCCTGGGCACTTGGGAGTTATAGCATACAGTTAGTCCTAGACTTTCAAACCACGATAAAAGAGAGTTGGAAAATTCATTGCTAAGCGGAACAGTCATTAAGCGAGACACACATGACCTTCCTTGCAGCATCCCTAGGGTCATTCATGATTTACGTTCGGACGCTTGATAACCGACTCGCACTTATGACACTTGCAGTGTCCAGGAGTCACAGTGTCCATCGTCTTTTGCGACCTTCTGGACAAGCCAAGTCAAGGGGGAAAGCCAGATTCACTTAACAACCATGTTAGTAATTTAACAGCTGCAGTGATTCACTGAACAGAGTGGTGCAGTAGCCTAGGGGTGGAACTGCCACCTCACAATCGGGAGGCTGTGAGTTCGATCCTAGGTAGCGACAGATATTTCTCTCTCTGGGCACAATGAGAATATTATCTGCTGAACAAAACTCCACCCCAGCAACAGGAAAGGCATCCGGCCATTCAAACACTCTGCTTGCTCCATTCAGTTGCCCAGTCTCCATCGCGCAAGGGTTTATGGGGTCGTTAAATGAGGATGATGAGTGATTCACTTAACTAACATGGCAAGAAAAGTCATAAAATGGCGCAAAATTCCCTTAACAAATGCCTCACTTTTTATTGGGCTCAGTTGTGGTCATAAATTGAGGACTTCCTGCATTCTGTTATTCTGAGATTTCCCTCTCTTTAATTCCACAGTTATGTTGCAACAAAAGTCACCCTCCCATGTTTTCAGAGGCAAACAGAGCTATCGGGGCTGTTTCTAACATTATCCCAGAATATCACTGCGTGGTACCTGATCACTGTAGGGTAGAGTTCTCCAGTGTATAGGAAGACACAGCTGAAAGATGCGCCTAGACATCCTTTTCCAAAGACAGCAAAGACAGTCCTCAGAATCTGCATATCTAGAGAAGATGAGAAAACCACTGGGTATGGCCGTGACGTGACTGTCGGTTTATTGGTGAAAGTACCGGATCAGAAACTAGGAGGAGGCGAGTTCTAGTTCAGCACCCTAATTATATTACTTTGGAAGGTCCTGTGCAGGGGTGGGCTTCAAAAATTTTAGCAAGGGGTTCTCTGCCTGGTTGCTAGGTGGGCGGAACCGTAGTGGGCGTGGCCTAGTCCTGCACCACGGCTGGGGGGGGCGTTTTTGCCCTCGAGGCTTTCCTCGAACCTCTAGGAGGGCAAAAATGGCCTCCCCAGGCTCTGGAGGCCCTCTGGAGGCTGGAAACAGGTTCGTTTCAGACCTTCCCGAACTTCCGGTAGGCCTGTTTTTCACCCTCCCCAAGCCTCCGTGCGCACCTTGCACTTACCTGCATCCAAAACGGGCTGCATGGGGACTGCAGGGAGGGGAGGGGAGGGGAGGGCCAGCCAGGAGTGGGATTTGGGGGTTCTCCGAACTGCACAGAATCTTAGCTAGAGGTTCTCCCGAACCCCCAGCAGCCCATCCCTGGTCCTATGGGTCAGTCAGCACATCCCATAAAGCCAGAAGATGTCTTCTTGATTTGGACACAGATCCACAAATTATGTTGAATTTTAATCGTATGTTAGCTGCCCCGTATCACCGTCGCAACTACATAACGATGGAATAATACACATTCGCGGAAATAAATCAGCGGTTTGAAAGAAATGCGGAATAACTTGGGGTGTCCAACCTTGGCAACTTTGAGATTTGTGGATTCTGGGAGTTGAAGTCCGCAAGTCTTAAAGTTGCCAAGGTTGGACACCCCTGATACTAATGGCTTTCAGTTTTTGGTTGTGCAAATGCATAGATAGACACTAGATGGCAGCAAAAAACCCAGTTTTCTCTGTCCCTTAGCTGCCCTCTGCTGGTCTTTAAGGGTGTTGCAGCCTTCATATTTTTGCCAGAGTTATCTTGTGATTTTATGACTGAGACTGAGATTTCAGGCTAACAAGCTGTGTGTGAATTGTGCTGCAAAAATTGTGCTTTTTCCGTCCCTCCAGGAAAGATCCTTAATATTTATAAGGGGAGTTGGGTTCAAGAAGAAAGATAATTAGAAAATAATTTTGCTTTGCAGAAATAAAATGATCAGTCAGTCCATTCCTGGAAACTTACCATGAGATACAAAGATGTTCCCCGCGATGGACAAGCCAGCTAAAATGAGGCTCAACGCTTGAGCGGTCCGACGGCCAGAATAGCAGATCACAAGGAAAGCCACCAACTTTGCCGGAATGTCTACCGCGCCGAAGATCACCTGGATAAGGTAGACGCTGACGCCAAAATTCTGCAGGTCCATCGCCAGACCATAATAGGCAAAGCTGGTAGAGAACCTGGAGTGGCCAATGGATTATTAAAGAAATTAAAATGTCTATGGTCCATGAAAGCCAACTGGGTGACTTTGGGCTGAGCACTAGGAGATTGTGAGTTCTAGTCCTGCCTAGGAATGAAATGCAACTGGGTGATTTGAACTGAGCACTGGGAGATTGTGAATTCTAGTCCTGCCTTGGGAATGAAAGCCAACTGGGTAACTTTTGGCTGAGCACAAGGAGATTGTGAGTTCTAGTTCTGCTTTGGCATGAAAACCAACTGGGTGACTTTGGGCTGAGCACAAGGAGATTGTGAGTTCTAGTTCTGCCTTTGGCATGAAAGCCAACTGGGTGGCTTTTGGCTGAGCACTTGGAGATTGTGAATTCTAGTTCTGCCTAGGGATGAAAGCCAACTGGGTGATTTTGGGCTGAGCACTAGAAGATTGTGAGTTCTAGTCCTGCCTAGGAATGAAATGCAACTGGGTGATTTGAACTGAGCACTGGGAGATTGTGAATTCTAGTCCTGCCTTGGGTATGAAAGCCAACTGGGTGACTTTGGCTTAGCACTAGGAGATTGTGAGTTCTAATTCTGCCTTTGGCATGAAAGCCAACTGGGTGACTTTGGGCTGAGCACTAGGAGATTGTGAGTTCTAGTCCTGCCTAGGGATGAAAGCCAACTGGGTGACTTTGGGCTGAGCACTAGGAGATTGTGAGTTCTAGTCCTGCCTTGGGTATGAAAGCCAAATGGGTGACTTTGGGCTTAGCACTAGGAGTTTGTGAGTTCTAGTCCTGCATTGCGATGAAAGCCAACTGGGTGACTTTGGGCCAATCAGCAGGAGATGGTGAGTTCTAGTCCTACATGCAAGCCATGCATGGGTGGCTTTGGGCCAGCCCCTCTCTCCCAGTCTAATCCACCTCACAAGTTGTTGTTGTGGGGAAAAATATGTCTCCTCTTCTCCTGAAATTGGAGCAAAGAGATTCAGCTTTTGAAATTCCCTGTAGGAAAGGAGCCCTGTGGAAATTCTTACAGGCTGTCCTCGACCTACAACCATTCATTTAGCGACCTCTCAAAGAGCACTGAAAAAAGTAACTTACAACCAATCTTCACCCTTACAACCTTTGGAGCATCCGGACAATCATGGGATCAAAATTTGGGTCTTTTGTATGTACAATGGTTGCAGCGTCCTGACTGCCATTTGCGACCTTCCCAGCAAGACTAGGGGGGAAGCCAGATTCACTTAATGACCGTGTGATTCACTTAACAATGGCGGTGAGGCGCTTAATAACCAGGGCAACAAAAAAAAAGTAAAATTGGGCAATGCTCACTGAACAACTGCCTTGCTTAGCAACAGATATTCTGGTCCCAACTGCAGTCTTAAATTGAGGACTACCTATATTCACAAAGCCAAGAAGAATTAAACCTTTGGTCTGCTTTTGATACTTTTGTTGTGGTCTGCCAGCAGCTTGCGGAGCTGGCAGCGGAGTCAGACAGTGAGGAGGCTGGGGCGGAACATGGGCCAGTCCTGGAGTCTGGGGAAGGCTTGGACGAGGGCACTGCGTCGGAGGCAGAGATGGGTCCAGGACCATCTGGGAGTTATGCGCTGACTCCAGAGCCTCGAGAGCCAGACATCAGAGAGGCAGAGGAACAGGAGGAGCCTGTTCCTAGGACGCGCATGCGCAGAGCTGCCAGAAGGCAAGAACAGCTAAAGCAAAAGGGACGACTCGGGAGTAAGGCCTGGCGATGATTGGCCCCTCCCATAAGGCTTAGAAGAGGAGCAAAGGCACGTGGGCCCTTCGCAGGAAAGCAAAATTGTTAATTCTGTTCCCAGTCGGCATCTCTGTTTGATTCTGGACTCCGTGCGGCTTTGCCAAGTAGGTCTTTGGCAGCGTGTCACGGGAGATAAAGGTGGGTGATTATCCCGAAGGACTTCTCCTGAAGGACTTTTTGCAACTAATTGGGACTCAGCTGTGAATGAACGTAATTCACAGCTGTTGCAATAAAAGAAGTTTTTGGGGACTACTCAGGAAACCTAGGTCACAACAGTATTTCTTTTTTGGGGCATCTTCCTTCCACTTTTCTTACCAGACGAAGGAAAGGCACACAGTGACTCGGCGCAGGGACGGCGTCCGCACCAAATCAGCCACCGGGAACTTGGTGTTGGCTGAGGAACGATCTGTCTGGAGACTGGCTTTCAAAACCTGGGAAAACAGGCCGAAAAAGAAATGGCTGTTTTGGACCCCGCAAAGTTTCCATGCTGGAATTTGCAAAGATTGAATGATCGATGGGCAAATTTTGATTGGCTGCCTATTTCCAGGTGCTTGGAACTTCTGGCATGGAGAATAGCACAGCGGTTTATAGCACAGATGCCTGTGTAACCCATAATATAATCCTTCATCTAATGGTGAATTTTTTTTTCTAGAGCTGAAATACCAGAGGAGGGAAGGAAAGAGGGAGGGATTAATGGATGGATTAATGGACGGACGGACGGATGGATGGATGGATTAATGGATAGATTGATGGATTAATGGAAGGATGGATGGATGGATGGATGGATTAATGGATGGACAGACAGATGGATGGATAGATGGATTGATGGATTAATGGAAGGATAGATGGATAAATGGATGGATAGATGGACAGATGGATGGATTAATGGATGGATGGATGGATGGATGGATTAATGGATAGATGGATTAATGGATGGATGGATTAATGGATGGATGATTAATGGATGGATGGATGGATTAATGGATGGATTAATGGATGGATGGATGGATGGATTAATGGATAGATGGATTAATGGATGGATGGATGGATTAATGGATGGACAGATGGATGGAATAATGGATGGATGAATTAATTGATGCATTAATGGATGGATGGATGAATTAATGGATGGATGGATGGATGGATGGATGGACGGATGAAGAGACAGTTTGGTGTCGGTGAAGGCATCAGCTAGAACCCAGAGAATTCCAGTCCCGTTTTAGGCATGAAGGCCAGCTGGTGACTATGGGCCAGTCCCTCTCTCTCAGCCCAGTCCACTTCACAGGGTTGCTGTTGTAAGGCAAATAGCAGAAGGAAGGAGTATCAGATATGTTCATCATTATTAAGAATGAGGGGAGGAAGGGAGGGAGGGAAAGATGGAGGAGAAGAGAAGAGAAGGGGGAAAAGAGAAAGGAGAAAGGAAAGGAAAGAAGGAGAAAGGAAAAGAAAAAGGAGGAAAGAAAAAAGACAGGAAGGAAGGAAGGAAGGAAGGAAGGAAGGAAGGAAGGAAGGAAGGAACGAACGGCATTCCTCTCATGCTTGCCAAGAAAACAACACAACCACATTGCTTTTCAGATTTTATACCTCCAAGCTGAGCTTCTCCTGGCCATCCTTTTTCCCGTTCATCCGAGCAACCTTCTGTAGCTCTTTCAGCGCCCGGTCGAGTTTGCCCACCGTGCCATACCAGCGGGCGGACTCTCTGAACCACCTGCACAAAAGAGAAACGGAAGAGCAGTGGAGACAGAGGGGCCGGGCAGAAATAGGTCACAGACAGGTGTGGGATTCAAAAATTTTAGCAAGGACTTCTCTGCCTGGTGGCATCTGAAACGGGCCGCGTGCAGACTCCTGGGAGGGCCGGGGTGGGCGGGGCCAACCAGTCCTTGCAACTACCAGTTCGGCGAACCAGATGTAAAATTAGCATCCGCTTCACCCGAACCAGTCCGATCGGCTGAATCCCACCCCTGGTCACGGATTGGAAGCCGGCAAATTTAGTAAAGAGAAGCATCTTCCGGGGGATGCTGGATCTCCACCTTCTAATTTTCATTCTACGGATTTTTTTTTTCTCAACCCTCTCTTATTCTGTCCTGCTTTCCCCTCCAAGCTCCTGGGTCGTTGTAGTCGTAAGTCGAGGACTACCTATATTGGAGACATAGCTTACTGCCAAGCTATAGAGAAAATCTGAGTCACATCCAGTCCTTTGTGTTGTGGTCCGCCAGCAGCCTGCAGATCTGGCAGCGGAGTCGAACAGCAATGAAGCTGAGGAAGAACACGGGCCGGTCCTGGAGGCTGGGAAAGGCCCGGATGAGGGCTCTGCGTCAGAGGCAGAGATGGGGCCAGGGCCATCGGGGAGTGAGGTGCGGACTCCAGAGCCTCCAGAGACTGATAGAAGTGAGGCAGAGGAACAGGAGGAGCCTGTTCCTAATTCACGCATGAGAAGAGCTGCCAGAAGGCAAGAGCAGCTCAAGCAAAGAGGACGACTCAGGAGTAAGGCCAAGAGATGATTGGCCCCTCCCATAAGGCTTAAAACTGACCAGCAACGGCGTTTGGGCTTTGCCGGAAAACAGCGTTGGTAGCTTTGTCTTCTTCGTCGTCTACGTCTTGTATTTATTTTTGTATCTGGGACTTCTGAACGTTTGCCAAGAAAGGCCTTTGGCAGTTTGCCTAATTGGACCAAGGTTTGCGATAGGACTGAGGAATTTGTGTTGGGAGGAATTTGCTTTAATTTAGTTGAACAACGCTGGGAATGAAGTCATTCTCAGCTGTTCGAATAAAGTTTGTTTGCTTTTTCACGGACTGATTTTCCTACTACTTCCTTGGGCCTGGGTCACAAGACTTTGGCTGGCCCCGTCCAGCCCCCATGGATTTGCATTTAATTTCGAAGGCAACCGCGATTTTATTTTTTACAATTGACGTTCAGGTTGTCCTCGACTTATGACCACCACGCAAATTTCTCTTGCTCAGTGCGACAGTTGCTAAGTGAACTTTGCCCCATTTTACCACCATTTTTAAGTCGAATCGCCATGGTTCTTAAATGAAGGACACGGTCGTTAAATGAAACTGGTTTCCCCATTGGACACAGCTGGTCAGAAGGTCGCAAAAGGGGAAATCACAAGACCCTGGGACATACAACCGTCATAAATAGGAGTCAGTGGCCAGGAATTTTGATCACGTGACGATGGACGCTGCAAT